AAAAAATTCCCCATCCAAAATGACACATGAAAACTTTTTTTTTTTTTTTTTTTTTTTTTTTGGACAACCATCCAACAATAACCTAGCAGCACGTCTCGTTATAAAAAGTTCATTTTAAGGTGTAATGGGTATATTATTTTCATTTTGTTCGTTTTGTGCCAGGCTGGGTTTTTTTTTTCTCTAGGTTACTTATTCAGTTTCCTTCTCTATCTATCTCTGGATAAACGTTGGGAAATGCTAGCTTTGAAATGCAACACCTAACTTATCAACAGACTGTCTGGGATTCTAGGTAAAAAAAGCTGCAGTTTTCAGACATTTACTGGCAACAGACGTCAGTGCAGCCAAATTGTAATAGATATGTGGCATGAAGCACCAACAGCATTTTTGGTTGGTTTAAAAAAAAATGCTAAAAATGTGTGTAAAGTGAGATTGTATTTGCACAAAACCAGCTGATAAATTGAAAATAGTTTTAAATGTTTTGTGAGTTCTATTTTGTGCAAAATTTGTATGAAGACTCAGAGGTATAAATAAAACGGACAGAGAAAATTGTTAGATTTTTTATATTTAGCAGGATTTATTTAGGCGATTCTGCGTCAAACTCAGAGAGGCTTGTTCAGTTTCTATAAAAGGTTTCATCCTGCAAAACATTTTTTATTTATCGTGTCGTGGACGCCTGCCACAAACATTTCCTTTTTGTTTTCTTCTGAGTGTTTTCTGGCTCTGGTCACTTCGGTCACTGAATCCAGGTCAACCGCCGCTCAACCGCACACGCATTTCTGGCCCTGCAGCAGTTTTGAGCCTCTGGCTGTAATCTAAAACACAAAATAGCCCAATTTCCTTGAAATGAGCCAAACATTTCTTTAAAAATCTCCCCCCACTGTCCACGGCTCGTAAGACGTGTGGAATGTCAGCTGTCAGATCCACAGATGGGACCCACCCACACTGTGGTCACTGCAGGAGCAAGCAGGGGGCAGAACAACTGGCGCTCATAAATAACTGAAGCAACAACAGAAACGACCCAAACAGCTCGGCCTCGGACCGCTGCAGGCGGGTCGGGTCAGCCGGCCGGCCGCCGAGCGTCCTGCGCCGCTAAAACGAGACCCGGTCAGCGTTTGGGTCTGTGACCACATGGACACCTGCAAAAGTATCATTTTACCCTGGAAACGGTTTCGTATTTTGATATGATGCAACTACAAACTTACCCTGTCTGTCACGAGAGGCCCCAAATTTGGGTCCTCTCGTGACAGGGGTGTCAAACTCCAGTCCTCAAGGGCCTCTGTCCTGCAACTTTTAGATGTGCCTCTGCTGCACCACACCTGAAAAGAGTAATTAGGTCATTAGCAAGGCTCAGGAGAACCGATCTACACAGGGAGGAGGTAATTAAGCCATTTCATTCCACTGTTTTTTACCTGTGGCACATCTAAACACTGCAGG